TGAGCGCGTCACGCGTCGCGTCATCCATCGCGTCACGAATTAACCAATCAAAACATCCCATTTTATTGCATTATTTGCCGCACGACTCCTTGCGCGACGCATCGGTTAGGTTGCTCGACATTCTAAAGACAAAAGATTCTTCCTTTGTATGAGATCCCAGATTGCGCGCATTTGTTATGAGGCAAATTACAGAAAATGTAACATTATTCATAAGTTTCAAATTATTGTCTAATACTATTATTAGATAATTATTATTCTCTACTATTATCTCTCGTCTCCTTGCGGCGACGCGTTCATTGTCAGTGTGAATAAGAACGACGCTATTCTTCAGTTACCTCGCGTCGCGTGACTCGTTCTGTAACATGCTGGAGAGAGCCTTCCCATAAAAGTCAATGTGTAGTTTTCCGGCCAAGGAGAGCAGTAGTAACCAGGAGGATATCTATACTCCTTTCATATTTATACCGCGAGGATGAGACAGATACCTCCCGGCAATATTAAATTCTCTCTTTCCACAATGATTTATCCCCACTGTTTTAAGGTTTACTCATGTACGTAAGGGCTGTGTTCCGAAATACACTACCAATACTGAAAAGCTGCAGTTTACGTTACGTATATTATAGATTTTCAGTACTGGCAGTGAATTTCGGAACGCAGCCAAGAATATATGGACGGAGCGATAGCAAGCGGGGTTGAAGCCAGAGGGACAAGGGGAAAACTAGCCGACCAAGATGGCGGCTATGCGTAATCCGGGCAACTAAACGAGCGCGGAATTTATAATATATAAATATTATTATATATATAATATTATATATATATATATATATATATATATATAATATATAAATATTATTTATTACGCAAGCGCCAAGCCAAGGTTAGGTTAGGTTAATAACACTGTTTTTTTTAGCCGACCAACTTGACCGCTGCATGATTTTTTCTTGCCGCTCAGGCTTTAACCCCCTCGCCTATAAGACCACTTATCACTCCATCCAGGTATTCATACATCTATGGGTTCACTCCAATATGTTATAGAGCCAGTGAACGCTATATATATATTGGAATGAGCACCGCCGTTGAGGTCAGTGTCCTTCGTAACAATCAAAAGCTCTATTAAATGTACATGATGTCAGAAAATTGCATTCTATTCAGTAAACTTTTATTGTTAATAACTTTTTAAGAAGCAACGAGTGACGGCTAAAATCTTTTGATTGATACTCAGGACACTGACTTCGACAACATATGTCAAGATTATTAAAGAAGCCTCCCCTAAACGGGAGTTTTATCATTTGGAATAATATACAACAAACTAATGTAATGAAATTTAAGTTCTCCAGTGATAAATAAAGACTTTGATGTTTGTCTCCGACTACTATGGGAAGATCCTTACACTATTCTCATGTGTTGTAATCGTAATATTAAAAAAATGGATATAAGGTAATAAATCTTATTGTTAACATTAATTGGATCATTCAATTTAGTTATATTTACTATTGTGATTTCAGAACATCCGAATTTGTACGTACATGGGAGGTTCCTACTTATCTAAATCACATTTTGGAATTAACATGTTTTTCATCAGATAATTTGCATACTATTATGACGGGGACGAATTATAATAAGGTCATTCTATGGGATCAAAGACGAAGTAGTTTGATTCAAGTTTGTATTACTGTCAAATTTTATGTATCTTATACTTTATGTAATCTATTATTAACTGTCTTAAAAATTTTTAGAAGTATAATGTAAGTCAAAATATGAACCATCATATATATTCTGTACAATTTGATAGCTCTCATATGTATACTACTACAGAGTACGGTTTATTTGAATTTGACTTCCAAGGAAACAAAAGCTACTTTAACCACACAGAAATGAAAACATTTTTTACTGATTTTTTTTAAATAAAAGAATCACTTATTTTACAAAAATGACATTATTAACAAGCATTACAGTATAGTATGAGGTCGACGCTTAAAATTTAGACATAGGATTTTATAATTATCAACTATTATTGAAAGATATAAAGAAATAACATATATATATAATACACATATTAGAGAAATACATAAATTTTTAAATCATTGGACTAAAGATCTTAAACAAAAGAGAATGACGTGGATCACCAAAAAACAACGTTTATAACCAGCTTCGATAAAAAAACATGAATTGCGGAATTTACGGAAATTCGGTTTAGATGGCTGTTCCAACGTATGGAAATACCATAGATTGACAATTGTGTAGTACAATCATGGATCTAGGAATATATGGACGATAGCTAGCGGGGTTGAAGCCAGAGGGGCAGGGAGAAAACTAACCGATCAAGATGGCGGCCACGGGTAACTCGTGTAACTAAACGAGCACGGAAATTATAATATATGAATATTATTCATTACGCAAGCGCCAAGCCAAGATTAGATTAACAACACCACCATTTTTCTAGCCGACCAACATGCCGCTGCTTGATTTCCTCCTGCCGCTCAGGCTTAACCCCCCTCGCCAATAAAACCACTTATTGCTCTATCCATATATTTCTAGGTCCATGGGTACAATTTTTAACTTTAATAAAATTCATTTTGAATTTTAGATATCAATCGGCTCAACATAGATGGTTTTCCACCAAAGAACACAGGTGACACAAATCACACAGTGTATGTCATAATACTCTTCTACAACGACACAACTCGACACAAAGAGTGCATTCGTTTACGCAGTAGTTAGCGCATCTATTGCGTCTCTTATCTGCTAGTCACGTGACCTAATTTACCGAATGGACATCTACGTGAATAACTGCTCGGATCATATCTTCCAATAGGAAATCTAGGCAAAACTTCAATATAAGTAAAGAGAAGATTTTAAAACAAACGTAATATTCAAACAATTAAAATGTAATAAAATTTTTAGATTAGGTAAAATTTTTAGATTGAATCATATTTTTATGGAGATATTGATCTATTAATTTATTATTTATTATTATGATTATATTTAAAGGTTAGGTGTTAATTTTTTGTGAATTATATCTTTAAGCACATTTTATTTAAAAAAATTCAATCTTCAAGAATAATGGAAAGAGTATTGGATAATGTTATTCATTATGCTGTAAAAGTAATCAAAAGCAATAGTAGCTCAGATTCTGACCTGTGGTCAGATAGTTCTGATGAAGAATTACTATTGCTGGATGATACGATATTATTTATTTCATTTTTTAGTTTATTTAACATTTTAAAAGATTATAAAAATAATAATGTATATGTTAAAAAAGTTGTAGGGTGCATTCGTTTATGCAGTACCACGCAGTATTGCGAGCAGAATATCTAGAACAGAACGCAACACCTCCAAGGTACCCGTCAAAAACAGTACGTGAAATCCACGTTATTGCCATGTGAGCACTAAAAATGTGAAACTTTAATTTGTTATATCTCTTAAACCCTTTGACTATGAAAATGTGGACTACTAAAGCCAACTTGACTTAGTATCCAAGATCTGTGGCGACACCGTGTGGCAACGGGACCGGGAATAACTAATCCATACAATAGTGTACGTGTCAAAGGTGCGTGGTGTTTAGTGCATGATGTCGGCTTGAATCTTTGACAATAACATGGTGTAAGAAACAAGGGTTGCGTTCCGAAATTCACTGCCAGTACTGAAAATCTACAGTTTACGTAACGTATATTGTAGATTTTCAGTACTGGCAGTGAATTTCGGAACACAGCCAAGGTGTGCTCATTCCTCGAATGCATTTTCGTCACGTTCTGCGCAGGGAAGGGAAGGGGAAGCGTGACAAGATTCCGCCATCTTGAAAATCACCAATAGAAACGCGACAGGTTTCGAAGTGCCACGATAAAGAGGTTATACGTGCAGTTTTTGTAGTGCTTTATAGCGTTTTTATTATTTACGTTCGAGAAATAATATTTTAAAATGCCGTCGTGTGCGGTAAAAAATTGCAAAAACAATTCACGAAATACCAAAAATACCGGTATAAGGTATTTTTCATTTCCAAAAAAGAACGAAATGATAGAAAAATGGATAGTGTTGTGTAAGGAAAACGTGGATCCAAAAAATCGGTATGTATATAATATCGACAGATTAATAAAATATAAAATTGATAAAATACATTATTAATAATTTTTTTATATAGCTCGTGTCTGCTCCGAACACTTCGATTTTTCGCAATATAAGAATGCTTCGTGGTTACGTAAGATATTGCCTGCTTATAGTCCTGTGAAAAGTAGGAAACTAAAACCAGATGCAATTCCAATTCCAATTGTGATGGAAAACGTTTTAGGTATGTATATATATTTCTTAATTCCATTCTTCCTTGCTGACTTACGTCCCAACTGTATCTCATTTGCCACATAACATATTGAATATGCTTACAGAAACAGATGTTGTGGCACATTGCATACAAATTGCTACGGACTGTGTCGCATCGAGCTCTGCGAATCCAGTCGTATCATCGTGCTCTGTGAATGAAATGGCATCATGTTCTGCGAGTCCAATCGCATCATCATACTCTGCAAATGAAATGGTACCATGCTCTGTTAATGAAATGGCACTATGCTCTGTGAGTGAAATGGTATGTTCTGCGAGTGAAATAGCACCATGTTCTGCGAGTCCAATCGCATCGAGCTCAATGAGTCCTGTCGCATCATGCTCTAGAAATGATGATAACTTTGGTACGTCTTTCTATTATGTATAACTTCTTTTTTTTTTTAGTTTTCTTTTATTTAACTACATTTTGATTAAAGTCTCAAAACGTTCCAAACATTACGTGCACATATTTTGTAATAATCAATAATGTTTAAATTTAAATTTGTGCTTTCTGCGCAAACGTATAAGTACTTCAAATTCACTTTCAAGACAAATATAATTATTTTAAATATTACATAATATACATAATGTACATAATTGTAATAATTAATTTTTATTTCTAATATGTTTTTTCATCGTAAAGGTTCATCGGAAGTTTCTAACAACGCTGAAGTACAGCAGCTGATGAAGGAAAATGCATCCCTGCTTTTAAAAAATAAAGTTCTTCAACAACAACTGGTTCGGAAGAATAAACTTTTTGATAAGATGATGAAGAAAAAATTGCAAGACATGCTAAGCCCTTTTTTCACGCCTGGACAAATTAAAATGATTATGAACCCTAAGCAAAAGATGACTCATTGGTCTCCGGTGGATATTGCGGCAGCAATATCTTTAAGGAGCGTAAGCCCGAAAGCTTACAGGTATTTAAGAAAAACAAAAAAAATACCTCTTCCGGCACTATCAACTCTCCGAAGATGGGTAGCACATTTTGACATGAACGAAGGTATTTTGAAGGACGTCTTGCAAATAATGAGATGCAAAGGTCAAAGCATGACAGATATGGAGAAAGCAACGGTGATCTGTTTTGATGAAATCCATTTGTATTAATATTTTTTTGTATTTATTGCCTCTTACATTTGTCATTTAATTTATGTTAAAATATATTTACAATAAATATTTATATTTATATACATTTTTCAAAAACTTGTTCAACTTGCTTCAAATACCATTTAAATTCTACAAGATGGCGGAAACTTGTCACGCTCTTTTATTGGCTAATAAAAATGCCTGCGCACGAGCACACCTTGTTTCTTACACCATGGACAATAATTTAAATATATAAAAATGGTGTTATATTGTTTTGTGGAAGGCTGCGAATCAAGGAAATATAAGAAGGGGAAATAAATGACTCCAGTCTGCAGTTTAAAGGTACATTTTCATGCAGCGAAGTTTCGCTGGCGAAGTTTCCTTGTTACTTAATAACAATCGAACGTGATTGGCTCTTACTTTTAGAGCGTCATTCAGCGGAAAATCTAGTTACTTTGCCCAACTGTTGAGTCCGCTGAATGCGGCCAATTATCGTCCGCTGTTATCGGCTCGGTGGAAGCGAGACAAAAGACTCTTATATCTTTTCTCTTCTACAAACCGGCGACTGAATTTCGGAACACAGCCTCGGACGCGTGAATAAAAGAAGTGGATACGGTACATGCTTGACGTTTATTTATTATAACAGTGTATACCTCATGTCATTTTAAACAAACTTAAAAACAAGTTGCTGATATCAATTTTAACCTGTTCACTAAAGTCATCAACGTGTCGTGTTATGCTGAGATTGTCAATCTGCTTTGCTAGTTGGATTTGGATTTTGATGGATTTACTACTTTTTGACCTGACCGTATCAAAAAATGAAATATATCCAAGTATCTCTGTCGTTTGCAATCATCATAATTATTATTAAATTTATTCGCTATTAATATAATTACTTAATTTATTAATTAATTTATTTAAATATTAAAATATATTTGATTAATCTATTCTTTTTGAAATTTAAACAGACTTGTGAAAACAATAAATACAATATTGAGCTGCAGAAATAAATAATAAATCTTAAAATATATAATAATTGTAATCATTCTTAAGATAAACGCAAAAAAGATATCAACATTTTATATATATATATTCACCGCTTATATTTTTTTTCAGAACAAAATATTTCCTTTTTGGATTTTCAAGAAGAAAAGTTGGCACATGATTCCTCCAAAAATTTTTGGAAAAGAAAATTGCTTTGTAAAAATGATTTGATTAAAACTACTAAATTAAGACTCTCAAACAAGATCATCTATTCTAATAGCAATCAAATTGTTAAAAACACAAATGCTAAAGAAAAATATAAAAATGCTATGGATAGTATAAATAAAAAAACTTTAGTGGATTATAATGGTCCAGCAATAATAGAGGATCTTCAGAATAGGAATGATCAGGATTTCACAAACCATATTCGCGTTAAGAGAAACGTACTGATGAATGATTCGATCATTAATCACCAATGGAATTATTCTATGAATTTAATAAATTCTTTTCCACTTGTTTCTACAAATTTCTGGAACAAGTCTGATGCTATAAATTTATTTAACAAAGGATCAAACTTGAACACGGATGGCAGGATTCAATATTCTGATGTCTTTTATAGAACTACAATAAGTATGCCATATTTGCGACATAAAAGAAGAGTTTTGTCTAGAAGTAAACGACATAAGAAACATGCGAAAGAAAATACTAAACACACTAAAATCGGCAACAAGAAGCATAGTACTTCAAAATTTTCCCAAAAATCTATTATGAAAAAGGCAAATAGTACAAGTATGTTTAATAATAATAATAATAGCATTTTAATAATAGCATATTAAATATAATTGTGGATTTGTGTTTTTAATTCAGAATATACAATTTTTTTCAATTTATTTCACTTATAGAAAAAAGAATTAAAAAGGCAGGAATTGAAATACCCGTCAAAACGATCGACGAATCACAGATGGGATCTAAAATAGAAAAAAGAGAATCCGGACATAGCAGTTTAAGAACTGAGTAAATATGCATTTTAGGTTACACAGCACCGATTTTGTTGCGCTTTAGATATGTTGTAGGGGAAGTTATTCTGAATAATTCCCCGCAAAAATTAAGTAACGGACGACATTGGTTTAGGAGATATAATAAATAAAAGTTTCACAATTTTAATGCTCTACTTTAGGTGTTATAAGTTGATATTACGAGCAGTGAAGTTTGTGTACGTTGTACTAATCTGTTGAAGAATGTAAACAAGCTACATGGTCATATTTTGTCAACAGTCGGCTTTACCTATTTCTCGCATTTTATTATTTTTCTTTACTTCTCATTCTGGTGAAAATATGCACGGAATACGTGGGCGCGGGAGGAGCTCCGCCCCTCCCCGCCCACGCGTGAAAGTTATAAACAGATTTTTGAAAATAATAAATTAAATAATCGATTATTACGGTGTACACGATCTATATTGTGAAACTTTAAATTTGTTATATCTCTTAAACCAATGCCGTCCGCCACTTAATTTTTGCGGGGAATTATTCGGAACAATCTCCCCTACAACATATCTAACAACAAAATACAACAAAATCTGCGCTGTGTAACCTAAAATGCATATTTATCAATTAATAAAAGTTCTAGTGAACAGCAAAATGCCGTCATACTACCTTTCGTACATACTGGAAAAGCGGAGTTGCGTGTTCGTATCGAAAAAATTCCCACAAATGTATCTTCATTTACTGTTAACTGGACGGATTGTTCCGTTGGAACTCATCCTTATTCAACTATATCACCAAAATATGGGGCAAAAATTGACAAAATTTCCAATTTCAATATTACAAATCTTGAAATCACTCCGAACTTCGATTCCACTGAGAAAACAGATGAAAAAGAGATTCTTCTACCGAGAAGAGATGATAACTTGATGATAGAATTTACGTTGAAGAAGTCAGATTATGGAAGCAATACCTCCAATCAAGAAACAAATAATTCTGGAAATAGATTATATAATTCAGAATCTTATTCGACTAAATTTAATTCGCTGGGAATAAAAGATGATTCAAAAAATGGAAAATATAATCACGTGAACAAAATATCTGTGGAATTGTCGAATGGGAATATGAAATCGCGCGCAAAGAGAAACCAAGAAATTACTTCTGAGTGTTATTTACGAAATAATATAAACACGAGATCGAAGCAGTTCAGGAACGCTGAACAAAGAACGTCGATCGGAAATATGAAGCATAAGACAAAGCATAGAAGAATTCGCGGTAATCGCGCTGTGAGGTCGATCGGAGAAATTAAGGAACTTGCTGAAAAATTAATCGTCAAAGTAAGAGATCGTTGAGATAAAATCAATTTTTCATTAATTGTATCAGAATTTGCAAAACATTTCTGGTCACATTTCAGGTAAGCGAATTGGAAATCTATGTCAACGACCGTAACGAAACTCTTTACGTAACGGATTCTTGCACTAGTAAAAACGCGGATCGCACAGCCGTCGAAAGAACACCACGGATTGTTTTGGAGAAACAAGGTGTTTCGAGTTCCAAGACCGTCGGCAATATTGACAACCGTCAACACTTTGCAAAAAACAGTGGACAGGTGGCTTTGGCAGGGAAAAAAACATTCCAAATGCCTTCCGGCAGCTCGAGATTTGTGCGAGGAGAGAACCATACGAGAAGAAAACCGCGCCGTAAGTGGAGCAGATGGATGGACTGGAGCAGCTGTAGTGTAACCTGCGGCAAGGGCCGGCAAATCAGATGGAGGCATTGTCTGCGAGATTGCAACGATGCGGAAACCGAGATGGAGGAGAAAGCATGTCAATTGCCAGCTTGTCCCCCGGGAAAGTTCCTTGGAATATTCTGAAAAATCTTCCGCTGAATAAACAAATGACGATCGATGCAAGTATTATGTGCGGTGACAGCGACACGTTATTAGTCACAATTAAAAAATAATATGATAATGACGAGTTAAAATAAATAAATCTTTCGATCATTGCATAAACTCTTCTCTCTTGTTAGTGTAATTATTCTCAGCTATATTTTTCAATAATTTGAGATACCAACAAATGTTGCTTAATAAAAAGTATTGGGATTCAATTAAAGATTTAACGAGATTCGAATTAATCTGTAAATGTCATGTCATCGTATCAACGCAACTTGTAATTACAAATTGAATTAAAAAAGATACCAGAGCATTTGATATAATGCTATCACTCGCTTTAGCAATAGAATTTTTCAAAAATTTTATTGACTTAAGATAAATAAAAGCATGATATAGTATATCCGAAAAACATTGATATACTTCAATAATAAAACAGAATTTACTTTTCGATAAAGAAAGTTCGCGGAGTATCAAATTTTTTAACATTATTTTATTTATTTTTTTTTTTTTATGGATAACAGTTTTTGTACAAATCTATTTTTACTTCTTGACGCAGAACTTTTAAAATTCATATAATGAGAAGACTAGAGATCAATGATTATTTATTTGGGAAGATAATTTGAGCAAGATACGATAAAATCATTGAAAGTTTATAATACAAATATTATCGCCGTATGAAACTTCTTTATTATATAGTATGCGAATGAAATTTTTACAGTCTCGAAAAACTTTCCTCGTTCATTATTCCATGTATAACACGGTTGTCGCAAAACTCTAACAAGTCATTTGATGTACATTTTTCATTCTCCCATTATCAAACACATAATATATTATACAGAGCATTTTAAACAATACTTCCTTCTTCGTCAATATTCACAAATAACGGGAGCGCTTGCCGCTCAATTAGTCTGTCGCAGCTCAATCATCGTATTCCCATCATTTTTAAAATGAACGGACATATCCGCCCCTGGCAACAATCATGTCACAAAATGTTAACGAACGCTGCATAACAAATGCTTTCTGTGCAAGTAGCTTTGAGTCTATACAATTCAATTTTTTTTTTTTTTAGCGACGTCGCGCTTTCATTAGTAATTTACGCGTTTTTGTGTATTATAAAATCTGGATATTGTACAATATTTATAAAGTGTCCTACAATACATCTTCACGTTTGTTTATTATCGTATCGATTGTTAAAAAAAAAAAAGATCGTGATAAAATTCAGTCACGGACCAACATTTTTATCTCAATTTATTAGGCATAAAGTAAAAATTGAAATATATTGTGAGCAAATACAAATTTGCATTTCATTAGCGAATAAGATAGATAACAGTACTTTTCGTAGAGAGCGCAAACGATTTGCAAATATTTCTATACATGGCACGTGCCTAAATGCTGCTAAATTTGGATAAAATGTGCCTCATAGATTTACATTTTGATGCTATGCCGCGTCTCTCTCGATTAAGTGCATAATAAAAATGCTACAAAATTATGATGCGCAATGTGTAGTACCGAACGATTACATAATCGAACATTTGTGAAATAAATCAAGCAAATGAGAAATCGAGTCGAGTAAACACTGTCCTTCAGTTATAATGCAATAATCATTTTACTCAAAAGAGCGTTACATCTACAAATTGATCACAATGGTAAACGTACATTTTTCGTACTGTTATACATACACACACGTATTCCTACACTCATACGTTGTTACATATTCGCAAGGTATGCGATCATGATACAACTCAGTCCTAGATTAAAGGACGCAAATGCGAATCACTCATCTTTGTAAATGACTATTACTTGTCTATTTAAATCGTGAACATTATACTTGAGCTCGCTCTTAACATTATCGGTTTGCCTGTAATTGCAACTATCCGATAGATCTGGTACGTATCGGTTTGTGATCGAAGCTTGATGTTCGCATACTAGTTGCACAAGTTTAGTTTATCATTTACAAAAACTAGTCACAGTGTGGAAGAACCAAGACGTATCTTGTGATATTTCTATATATATAAAGTGACTGCATTTTTATATAAGAGGAAAACAAATTTTATATACACGCCATACGTAACAAAAACTTCGTTTTCCTTTCGATAAAACCGCAGTGACTCCGCCGTGATCATGAGATCAGAATAGACCGCTATTAAAATAGTATATTTCTTGCTTGTTCGACTTGGTTATTCTCGTCGGAGGAACAATAAGCCAGTATGACTATTTCTTCCTCACCTCCGGCCAATACTCGCACATCTCGGTCGGCGTCGACCCGCATTTTGGTGAGTATTCTTTCCACTTCTTCCATCGCTTCCACGCCCAAGTTGTCCACTAAAAATATTTAAGAAATATAGAATCACAACGTGTCGAATCAGCGTGATGTATCGTAACAGCAATATGATACTCACAGCCCATCGCACTAACATCCGTCGCTAAAGTTCTCGCTACGGCCAGTCTTATGTTTGGTACTCTGTCGCACGACAAACTTATCAAACATGGTAACATCTCCTTAGTAAATTTACTACCCGTGATCGCGTCATTGCGTATCAAGTGCGCGCACAAGAGTGCGTAAGTTTGTCGGTGTATCCATCTCTTAGCGCTTAAAACTAGAGTCTCTCGAAGTTCGTAAATGAGAGACGTAACGAGAATGTCTTCGGTGGACAAGTAGATCATGATTCGCGTGATCTGCAAAAAAAAAATCGGATAGTTAATTTACAGGCAGCATGATCAGGAAGTGTACGATATGTGCAAAATCCAAAATTTATTACCAGTTCAAGCGCGACGTTTCTAACGGCGGCAACCTTGTCTACGAGCAATTGAAGAGACAGCGGCGCGATGCTTTGCGCTACATCGTTTGGGCTGTACAGGGTTACAATGTCAAGCAACTGCTTAGCCAGTTCCTCCCTGAACCTCCAATTCCACTCGTTGTCCGTAGCGAGGAAATCACTTAACCTCGGCAAATATTGGCAGCGATCGGCGGGCTTGAGCTATTTGTAGAAAGGTCGCGAGGTGTTTGAGCACACCTATTCGGACCTCGTCCAGATCCTTGATGAAGCCGTCGTAGATCGGCACGAGGTCGGTGGCAGTGAGTTCTTCGCCCAGAATCATGGCGATCTCATGGATGCTGGATGCCAGTGTACGCCTGACTTTCCAGTGCTTCGCGCTGGACAACGACTGATAAGCTTCCTTCAAGTAATGCCAGTTCTCCTTGCCCAGCGTAAGCGCGACCGCGGGAAAACTGAAGGCACAATGATGCGGAATTTCCGCGCCCATGTCCACGCATTGCTCTGGATCGGCCATCGACACGTAATAATTGATTAGCTCCTGAGGCACGATTTCCTGCCCATTGTTCTTCATATCGAAGTCCTTGCTCAAGTTACGAGGCTTATTACTTTTGTTCGCGGAGAAATTATACATTTCGATCATTTTCGTCCATCTTTTTTGTCGATTCAAGATATCAGAATCCCAATTCAATAAGGAATACTCCTTGCGTCCTCTATTATTCAGCGCGCCTGTTATGCGATGTGATGAGGGATGGTCGTCATCATCATCGTCGTCGTCGTCATCATCTTCGTCATCATCTTCTTCATCGTCATCTTCATCGTTGTCTTCCTCCTCTTTTTGATTATCGATCATTATTCGGCTTGAATTGAGTTGATCGAAATGTTCATCCGTATTTGAGTCTTCCTCATCACTTAAATTCGCAATGGGAATGGAGATTCCGGAAGAGCTGGACGAGCTATTCACTTCGATCGCGGAATCCTGTTCCGTTGCTTTCTGTGCGTTATTACGATTCATCGCCGACTGCCTCGCAGCATGAGTGAGTTCGTCATCCAACGGTACATCCGGAGGGATGTAATAATATAAAAACGGATTGTATTTTTCCGTATCGTCCGCGTCTTTGAAATGACCATGTCTCTTTTTCGCTTTTTGCATAATCTGAAAATTAAATATAGAATATGGTTAATGTATGTATACACACTGAGAAACACATAAAATCATAGCTTATTTCATATGAGCACTTCAAAGGTATATTATGTTAAGTCACATTTTTTCGAAAATTTTGTGTGTGCGCGTGTGTGTTGTCATTATCAAAACTGTATACTCCAATTTTTACCTAATGGCAAATGTTTTCAATGAAAATAGAGATGTTGACTGTACAAAATTAAGTCATAATGCGATAACACATTCACCAGATAAATAGTAAGTCACATTAAAATTATATTCACACAACTTCTGAAACATCAAAGTTTGATATATCTACGAACAAAATATAAAAAAATCTACAAAACATTACAAGTATTTTACTGAAAGCATATTAAAAACGAAAAATCTCTTTAGATTCATGAATTATGTTCATGTGACTTAACATAGTATACCTCTGAGGTGCTCATATAGATAATAAAATGATTTTAAAAAATATCGATTATTTATCAAGAATAAATTATAAATTATTTTTTATGGTGCTTCAAAATAAAAAAAAAACTAAATTAAAAATAGATTAATTTCTGTTGTGCTGTTTAGAAGAATAATTTCAATAAACATTGAAAGATAATTTCAATGTTTAAACATACCTTACTTACGTAATTCTTACTTAATTCTTCACACAAATCTTCCATTTGAGGAGTGATGCATTTTGGAGCATTAGCGCATGCACGTACTTGTCTCACAGGCAGATAAAAAGAGCTTTTCGTATTTTCGTCCATATCAGATATCTGATTTTTGAATGCGCCTTTCATAGGGAAGATTCCGTCGTACGAGTAACGTATGCTATAAAAACACATATTTCATTTAGATTAATATATACAATGCAAACTGCAACATAACTAAAAAATAAGAAAGTGCTTTGTCATACCTGAGATGATTATCCTGTTTGCTATTGTACACTAACTCGCCGTTTTTATTATAGGTGACTTCGGTGAACTGCTTGGCGAAGGTCGATATAAACGGTCCGAGTATTTGAAAAGCTGATATTCGTACCCACTTTGAATCATCGTTCAAATGCTTAGCCAATATGTCTGCTAGTAACAATCGACGGAACTCAGGTGTCGAACAGCAAGAAACTGGCATCATCACCTCGACACATGCTTTTCGTACACCCCACACTCCATCGCCGCACAAATCGACAAACGTAGGAATCTAAGAACAATTTAAATAATGTGTAAATTTAGCATTAAATTGATAGTATTATTTATAATTTTTGAGCTATTTTTATAATTAGAACTTACCAATTCGTTAAACAGTTTTCCTTTCCCTACAGCGGTGCACATTTCCCCAAAATGTGTAGCGCAAGTTCTTCTCACCATCATGTCATTGTCCTCGCATAGGTCTAAGTATCGTCTCAAAAAGACCTTTTCTGTAATTTCGCTACCAATCAGCGGTGCCAGTCTACACATGAGCTGCGAATCGATATAAAATATGGAAATAAATTGTTATAAGCGTTGAAAAATTTAATATGAAAAATATATTCGCGCGTGCTATCTAATACATTCACTTGTCACTTAGAATATCTATAATTATGTAATATAAAAAATATAGGCTCTAATTAAAATTAAGCAATCGTATATACATTAGATAATATTTTTATATTTATAAGAATAACATTTATAAGTTTTAATATCAGATGAAATACATCATTCCGTTCCGCTCATCAAAGCTGGCTGTGATATGAATTAATAGCACCACATCACAACCACTCTGATGGGAGGAACAGTCGATTTTATGCAATCAGCCTTGCGTTCTGCAAGAAATATATTAATTAATGGATATTAGCGCTTATTGTCATAACGAAATATTTACATTTGACGAAATATCACATAATACAGAATAATATATCTTCATTGCATGAAGATAAATAAAATATTCGAATTACGACTATTGCGCAATAGAACTATATCACCGCTCAAAAGCCAAACTGATTAATTTCACTTTTTGCAATTTTCCCAATTTTAGTACCAACGCACATGATTGGTGCTTAACTTTTCAGACATAAAATAAATTGATGGAGTTAGTCGGTTTGGCTTTTGAACGGTTCAAAATAATAATTTTCCTTATTTATAGTATTTCTAATCGATTCCGACTTGTTAAATATCAAAATACAGAAAAAAATTGCTAAATTTCTTGCGTCCAAAACTTGCTGAATTGTGAATGCCGCAACGCTCATCAAAGCTGGCTGTGATATGGACATTACATCAGCATATTACAACCACTTTGTGAGCAACGCGAGCACACGCTTTCTTGTAGCCGAAGACGCAGCCTCCAGGATGCCTCCGCATGACGATCCTATCTATTATATCCTTCTCCATTTCCGCGCTAAGAGGAGAAGGCGATGCGTAAAACGGCAATCCAAATCGTCAAAAATGGCTGTGATATGAAATTTAGAAAAGCAACACGCCACAACCAATTTGACGATTGGATCGCGTTTCTCCTGTATGTAAAATGCTGTTCGTCGGACGGAGCTTTGCTTAGTGATTTTTAAGAAGTATACGAAAATGATTCCTCGCGCAACGTATATGCGAAAAGAACGCCGAAGTTAACTTCTCTTGGTCTTCCTTATTATCCGTTCGTCCACACGTCCGTGATATCGATTCAACAGGTAGAGAGCGGAATCTTCTCGACGATCGATTCTGCGGGCCAGCTCAACAAAATGGCTGTGATATGACTCGAAACATTCCACAACCAATTTGTTGTATCGGACCGCAAAAGGTATATTCCCGACGTATCTTCTCTCTTCACCGCCTCTCCCGCGCTACGTGTTTCCCCGCATCTTCCGGTTTCTGTCACTCGACTTTCACGACTCCGTTCTTTTAACCAGCGGAGCGCGTTGAGAACGGACACAATTTTGATCATCAAAGCTGGCTGTGATAGTCGAACTCTATGACAAACCAACTTTGATGGTAAAAGTATGTCCTGTCTTTCGTGTGGGATGCCGATATTTGCATTTTCCACAAACACTTTCCGCTCCTTTCCTCTGCTTTTTTTTTGTTTATGGAAATCTTCGAGCGATGAGACGGCTAAGTATTCCCTCGTTCTTTTAATCTTGCTCCTAAAGTGTGTTTACCTCATCTCTTCCGAACTTCTCTCTTTCTCCTTTCATATCATTACTCGTTTCTCGCCTCGATTCGTTTCCTACTGGCACAATAGATCATAATTGTAATTTTCATCGCGTCATTTTCATACCTTTGTGCAACATCGTCGGAGCGAACGGACGCCGCATGAAAGACAAGATAGTGAGACGCGATTGTGATCGAGAACATCTCACTACCCATGTCTTTCAGGAGGAATCCGTAGATGCGAAGAACCGTTTTTTCTCAAGATGCATACGAAGAAAAGATGCGACGATCGCATATGTATTTCTAATCGCGAGCGCAACAAATTCCAATATTTTTTGTCGCGCGCCAATGACAAAATTCTACATAAAATAAGCTATAAATGACAAAGAGAAAAATTTCAAAGTATTATCTTTATATAATATTAATATATATATAAATTTATAAACGCCGAAGATAAAAATTTCAGAGCAAATTACTCTTTTTACATAAAATGTTTAATTAATTATTAAATTAATTGATTTTTAATTAATTGTGTTAGTTAATATTAACTTGGAAACAAAAAGAAACGGTAAAATAATTCTTTTCATTCGTCTTAAGCGCCATAATTATTTTCTTAAACGGCAGCTAATGATTTTATGCAGCGTTCATTCTTGGCACATAGAGCTTTTCTTTAAGACGACAATGCGACTTTAAAAGTATTATCGTCATTTACAGCTTTTTTATGTCAAGTCTTCGATCGCCCATAATAAAGAAATTAAAAAAAGGGAACAAAACGCGAGAAACTTACGGAGATGTTAGCGTTTCGAAGATGTTCATCGGCCGACATATAAGACAAATGTTCTATCGTGGGACAAATTTCATTCTCGATTGTGTTGTTGTCAAGAAGTTCCCGCTTCACAACAGTAATTAGCGCGCTTTGAGCCATTTGTCGTACCTATAAGGTGAAAAACATCTCATATCAATATTTATGCCGGCAAGGAATTTCAGTTTTTGCCTTACGTTAAATTCAAAATAAGAATCATGTGATCACTTGCCTGGTTGTCCGTATCGCTCAAATATTTCACGATAATACCGAGAAAATGATTGCGAAAAACATCCCCGAAGATATGTGGTGCCTCGTGACAGATAATGGCTATATTCGGAATCTGCTCCACTAAGTCTGATCGAACCAAAGCATCTGTAACAAAAATGACACATCAGATATCAGAATGTTGAATGTTCAGAAATGTAGTAAATCATGTGCTATCATTTTCACCTTGATTTTAAATAATACGAAAAGCTTACAGAAGAATTATTGCGTCTAATATAATTTAATAATCGATTATAGATGAATTCTAGATGTTTTTACTATATTTCAGAAAGTAATCTGTTTTCTAAATGAGCAATTATATTTTCTTCTGAAAAAAGATCGCACTATATAAAATATGTAATATTAAATATACAAATTTTTATACAAATAAGAAAAACCTTTCAAAGCGTAGCAAACATTAATAATCATGTTAATTTAAATAATTTTAATTGGATTTTGCACGGTAAACATTTTAAAATCTCATAGAAATAGTGTGACAAAGGTGTTATAATAATCGAGTTAATTAAAATCAGTGATTTAAAGTGTTTAATAGAAAAAAAATTAAACTTTGTGAACATTATCGAATCTGACAAAGAAATTTGTTTTAGATAGAAATATTATTAAATAAAATTTTATAAGAAATCCGGCAATGCTCAAATATATTACCTCATCTTGTTACTATTATTTCACTACAATACCATGCATTAATCATGAAATATTCCCGTGATCTAAGTAGCAAATACGAAGTCCGTGAAAAGAATTCTGGCCTCGCCAGAACTCGACTACCAAATTCTTGCGCGACGTCAACCTTACTGAAGGGTAACTTGAATGGTGCAAAAGCTCTCTGCGCGAGAAACTGAGAAATAACTAAATGGAGGGGAGCGTAAAATACTAAGAACCAGGGACGGATTTCGGTTTCTGCCGCTCCTAGGCTGAATCAAATTTGCCGCCCCTTAATGACAGTGCAATTTTTAATATTAACAAAACTCAAAGAAAAAATTTCAGCAAAATCCAAAAAAAGGTTGAGAATTGGAGGGAAAAAACGGGAAATAAGTTTTGCCAAAAACGCCGGAAAAAATAGCACTTTATACGTTCTTTAACAGTAATGATCACGAACATATTTATATTATGACTCTTTTGATGAAAATCAGAATGTATTTCGAATATAAATCGAGCGTTAATAAATTTTTTTTTAATTCAAAAATTGAAAATTTGCCGCCCCCTAAAATCTGCCGCCCTAGGCTGTAGCCTACTAATGGGAAATCCGCACCTGCTAAGAACATCCATAGAGGGAAAAATAAAGAAGAATAAAAGATGTAAGGACTAACTATGTAGCGAAAAGGGCAGACATGGAATATTGTAAGACTACAATTCCAAAAAAAGGGATCCAAGATACAAAAATTCCTTTGATGAATATTCTTAGTATATTCAGTTCTCACTGGGTACATTTGAAGAACGTTCAACTTTTCGGGACCGTTCTAAACTCTCTCTTTTGATATGGTTATCCTTTTTCAACATTTCTGACCATTTCCGACCATTTTTGACCATTAATCAAAGATTCTCTATTGTCCTAAGGACATTTTGTCTAAGATTTAACAGGATGTTAAATCTTGGGCAAAATTCACGCTGAGTAACATCTTTAAAGAAAAATATTATCAGGCTAATTTTCTCCTTGAAAAATCTTAACAAGTTTATTTAGAGCGAATTTCATCTTTTCAAGCATTGTCATCGTCTATTTAGAAATTTGGTAACTGTGATTGGTTTTATATCCACCGGTAACATTTATAATTTTACATTTTCTTACATGGAGCGACTTCTTAAAGAAAGTTTATGAAAATTTCAATAATTGTAAACAAATTTAATCTTCCGGGAAATAAAGTAGTGGTTTCTTAAATAAATGAATGCTTATTTCCTAAACAAATCTAATACAATAAATATAGATTTTGGAATTGATGTACTGGAGAAAATAAAAAAGTACAGAGACATTTAAGAAATCAAATTCTTTAAAAAAGTCCCTCATGCCAATTGTCGCACCTCCATTATCATTAGTAAAGATAATAATTATTTTCGCGTATCCGTTATGTTGGGACTTGAACTCCGCGAGATGTTATATTAGTTTCGAATTCTCCCTTTTCAAACTATGAGGTCAATGCTCTCGCTAAAAATCGAGGGGTTCCTTCCCTTCATGCTCAGCCGCGTATTTCGTGTTATCCAAAAATACGTAAACGCCGAGGATGCACGCGTGTCGCGTGCCCCGGGTCGTGAACCGGTGCTGCATCGCGGACCCTTCCGCATGTCCCCCCACGGAAAAACATCGATGCTGACACGTGTTATGAGGCAAGATGCTCCGCGGCTTGTCCCTAAAAATAGTGGGCTAGAAAGCACCTTTTGGGGTGCTGCATCAAGATACATTCCTTGTGCCAACACGTGTCGGCACAAGGAATGCATTTCACGACTCCGGATGCGCACCATATATTCGTAATCTACAGAATTTTCGAAACCTTTTTTTAGATGTTTTAGATCAGGTTAGAGATTTTATAAGTTTGAAATAAATTTTAACAGAAACACTGTAATCACTTGTATAATTATACAATGTATAATAATAATATAATCACCTGTAAAATTTATTTATAATTATTATATTATATAAATATTTTTAATATTGTTTTTTCATGATTAAACGTTAAATGGCTTTCTTTTAATAAAATCCACTTTAAATTTATTTATTTATTTTATTAATTTAAATCAGTATATACAAAAACAAGCGGATCGATAAAGGATCAATTGCTTATTACATTTTTCTGCTAATTTGATTATAATTTTATAATTGTATCGTATTTTCTATACAATTTTTATACGTGTAAAATTCTTTCCGTAAAATCTGTAGCTCTTTAATGTTCTTGAAGTAGTTGGAATGCACTTTTTCATTATTTTATTAGGTAGATAATAATTAACGTGTAACATTGTTCTTCGTGAATAAATAAAAAAATAGAATACCCCTTAATTTATTGCAGAACATTTACGCAAGACATTTATGAAAGAAGAAAATGTATTGTATGACATTTATGGAACGGTACAAAAAAAAAAGATGCCTGAACGAAATCGGCGTTTTTTCAGTAAGCGAAATTTGTAGACTTATATATTTTCTTTAGAAAAAGGTGGACAAAAAGGAAACAGTCTTTTGTCTAAAATTCTTTGTCACTGTTGGAATCTGACATCTATAGAAGTCCATCCGACTTAGATCCCTTTTAAGAACAAAAACTTCACATAAATAAACAATTTTATTTTTCTTCATTTATGATCTTGTATATAATACTTTAAAAGTTGCAGTTTATTCAATTTTTTAAGTTCTCATTAAGTCTGATTCGTATTCTCATGCGTTTAACGCTAAATGTATCCGTATAATCATAAGTTTTACTTCACCCGACGTAGAAATACATTGAATATTAAATATTCAATATAAAGAATTTAATATAAAAATAGTTTTCTTTAACACTATATGTTTATTTCTCCGTTAAGAAATTGAAAATTCTCCGAAATCTAATAATGCTATAGAATTTCTATTATTCTATTTATGTACAAAATAATGCGTGCACCGGATTGATAGACCACCACACGGCTGTCAGAAAGAGGCCAGAAGGATGTGAATCCTGGTACCAGCATCGGTACGCCGGCTTTTACGCGTGCATCTTTGTAGCCAGATATGGCGATGTTTAAATTAAGAACGGAGTGGGTTTGCTTCTGAGACCGGGGGGAGCTGCGCCCTCGCGTATAAATATCACGGCAGCTTAATACCGTATTCTCGAATCCATGAGCGACTTCCGGTACTGCGGCGCGTGCCATACCGGAAGCGAGGGCGCGTCTTTCGTCGTTGCCTCTAACGAAGGTACTTACTTTTCGCCGCATCCTCTTGCCTCCCCCCTCATCGAAAATGAGCCACCCCGCCTTTTCCCGAAAGAAACAGCTCCAGCTGCTGATGTACGTTTCCTATAGCGTTCTACTCGAGCAATCTCCATTTCAAGTAGACATATCCAATTTTGTAACGAATATAAGATATTATTCTGGTTAAAAAGGAAGAATTGCGCGCGACAAGCATTAAAACGTGCAGTTCGAAGCACGGTGCGAGTACTACTATTTTTTTTTAAATATTCCTTCAAAGTTTGCGCATTGATGTTTATATATTTTTAATGTGTTTCCTCTGACGCACAATTAACTTCTCATGAAATAAACGACGCAATTTTTGCGAAAAGCAAAATAAATTGCGACAAATTTCAAGACGTTCATTCAATTATCTTTATACATTTCGTTAAAAGTCGGTCAAGAGCGACGCTGGTATTGCTGATATTAATATTTCTCATGTCGGACGCATTATTTAAACAAACAGCGCTCAAAGAAAATCCAATTTCTATCAAAGCGGATGATGTTATTTTGATAAAAAAGATTTACATTGCGAGATCTGAAATGTACAGTCGGCTGTGCTTGCACTTTTTGTGCAGCATCGATTACGAGTTTTGACCAGAGATTAAAAGAAGAATAGTAGTAGAATAATTTTGGTAGAAACTATCTTGGTGAACGGCCTTTTTTTGTCTATAGCAATAGAAAAGAAATTTGAGAATTTTTGTACATTTCCATTTGTGAAAATAGATACTTCACTAACACGGGAATTGCCGAGTAAGCATGTTTTTTCGGTCGCAGTCAGCGTAAGATTATATTCTATAACAGTTTATATTTAACAATCGCAAAAATTCTGAAAATGTCTAATAAATTACGTGTATCATTGAGCGAACTTGTATCAGCGTAAAAAAAAAGCAGCACATAATCAAGATGCAAACGCGCAAGCCAGATTGTCCCTTTTACAAAATAATTAGAAAAAGATGATATACAATTAAAATAAAAATTTTAGGAACCAATCATATTTATGCTTAAACAACATGCGTGAATGCTGCGAAGGATTTGACTCAGAAATGAACATTTTCATCAATCCTTTCACATTAACAAAAGCTTACAAAAGTACGAAAAATTGTATGACATTGAATTTTATTTAATATATCATTTTTTATCGCCTGTCTACACGCATAAAATATATGCTACGCATATAAAAGTTTTAAAAAAATATATAAAAGTTTGCTTTACGTGCACATTGAAGACTTTGCATGGAAGAAATATCCACATTATATGCTACAAAATTATGAATGTTGCGTGCAATGTAGAAGAAAAGAAGAGTGCATAAAATATTCCTTAGAGATTATATAAAGAGATTGCAACCGTTTTTATTGAATGGTTAATAAACAAACTAAAATATCTTTCATTTTTGTACATGATGATGCAGAACGATTCTTATTAAAGGTCGTCATATTATTTAGAATTATTTAGAAATCATCACATCGCTGCAGCGTCTAAACGACGATACGCAACTTAGGAGCAATGCAAAAATATGCATTTCAAAAGTAGTGTTCAATTAATAATGGAAAATGACTTACCGTTATCGTCGATGATAAGTTGTACTTGCTGCATAACAAGCTCGATAACCAATGTTATTTTATTGTTGACAGCCGCGCGAAACATTTCCACCAATATACGTCCGACCATTTGCCTGTAACAGAAAATAAGAACGGCACATTAATAATACGTTATTTTATATATATTAATGGTTGATTCAAGTGACTCTTATCTCAAAGTGTAAAATTATTCAGAATAAATTTTTTAATACGGCTATTTATCAAAATTATAATCTTCAATACTTTTTTGATATTTTTGCGTAGACAATTTAATTAAGTTACTTAATATAAATTATTGTGTTGTTGTTTTTAACCGCAACTGAACTAATAAGATTTTTCAACATAAATTGATTAACGATATGTTTAAAATTAGCATATACGCGTTTCAAGATACATTTTTATTTCATTCATACATTATTTTGATTTTCCTTCAGAATATTCCTTTAGAATGCCCCAAAACAGCTTATCGCTGTTTGTTGAGCAAAGAATTTTGCATATTTGGTATTTTTTTAAATTTTATTTTAGACATTAATTCACTTCTGTTCTCCAGACTTTTAACTTCATAAAATTTCGTTGAACTTGGTTCGATAATTGAACATATGAATGTAAGTATGGCTTAACCACCGCGTCTTCGAACTTCGAATTGGCAGAAAGAAGATAAAAGAGGCTGCAAAGATGTTAAAGCGAGATACTGAGGAGCAACATGTGTCCACCTTAACGACCATGCACATGATATCGCGTCGAAGCGCTAAAAGGAAAATATAAGAGCAAACGCCGCGAATTCCAAGGCGGCAGATTATCTTCATCAATTATTCATACTCGCCGTTCGCGCATCTCGGCGTATTCGGCTCTGTGAAATTCCAGCGCGAACTCGAATAAGTTCGATAATTAAATACATAAACCGAGTTAGGCTTTAACACGACCGTCCCTCGAAACTTCAAGCTGTAAAAGGAAAAAAAAGGGGGGAAAACGGGAAGAAGAAAACGAAGTATCGAGAGGCAAACAAGCGGCAGGACGAGTACGACGAGGAAGAGAAGACGAGACGACGTTTGCGGGCAACACACTATCATCGGAGGCCATGAAGGCGGCGGCCGCCCTCCTCGGCGAGTGGAATCGAAGACGAAGAGCAGGAAGTGGAAGACGAAGTATCGCCGCCGCTGTAGTTCGATCACGTCGCTACCCTTCCCCTCGGATTGCTGCTGCTATCCCGCCCGGCGCAACTTCCCCCCACCATAACAACAGGGCACCCTACTCTCTCGCAGCAGAGATGCGAGGAGGCAGCCGAGTGGGGTCAAGCGACGACGCGGTGTAGGAGGTGGCGGGAAGAGGGCGGCGGAGCGTCGGCGGTGGTGGAAGAGACACCAACGGAACACCGTTGATGATGCCCCACCAGAAACGCGACGGCGCGCCGGCGAGTGGGGTGAAAGCGTTCTCCAAAGTCGTTGGAGAACGCGCGGCGAGATGGTACCGCCCTTGAACGCCTACCATACTGGCGCAAACATGGCCGCCGACCGCCGCGGCGGCGGCGGCGGCGGCGACGACGACGGCGGAATCAACGACGGCGGCACCGAAGACGCGGGCGAATGAAGACAAAGTCTTCCCTCCGGAATTTTGGGAGCAGGCGCGCGCGCGAAAGAGAGAAGTTCTCGGGTTCGGTGCGAGCCAAGTACCGCGCGCGCCTGCTCCCAAGCGCCTTCTGCCCACCTGCATCCGTAAGGGCGACGACTCGGGATTTCACCCGGACCCAAACATCCCCCTGGCCCCAAAATTGAAGTACGAGCGCCAACACTTCCCTACGGCCTACTACGCGCATGATCGCTGTAGTTCGCGAAGATCGATAAGAACACGCGTTTCCTTCCCCCTCCTCGAGCGACGTCGATATATATATATATATGTATGTACATATATATATATATATATATATATATAAATATAAATACATACATACATACATACATATGTATGTATGTATTGTACATACATACAAGAAAGGGTTGATTTTAGGTTGCCACGACCGACGTGGATTCTCCGCGGTATCGTAATATCGATAAGTTGTGCCACAGAGCGATAAAGTCAAAAAACTTGAATAAAAAAAATACGATATTCGTATAATTTGTCGAAATCGAAGATCTTCGAATTTTCATTGAAAATGTCGCAAATTGCCGATGAAAAATGATCTTTTTATTTTATTCGTATCATTTAATCTTTCTATTAGTACATAGTCCATAAAAATATGTTAGAACAATTCTTTAAATGTCAAGGAAATAATTTTTATTACTAGCGTATTGGTCTCAAATAATTTCAATCAATACGAACATAAAAATTATTTTAACAAGATTAAATATAGTGGAAGCTTTAACAATAATTTTATTACCTACTCTAGCAGTAATATCAATTAAAAGTAAAAGTTACACCGATTCCCCGATAAAAAAGTTCTGTCTACAGAATCGCCATTTTGTAGTTAGCTGTGTCGCAAATATTTAGAGTGAGTATCTTCCGCAATAAAAAAATTTAAGCATTTAAGTGTTCTTTTAAATATTTATAACAAATACATCATCTAAAATAATATATTTTTTTCTTTTTAATTGTGATTCTAAAAATAATTTTTAAAATTATTAATTTCTACCAATAAAGTATTTTGAACAATGTCCAAAAATACGTTTTATTTTTTTCAAAAATGTGAAATAATAGTAATAAAAATTTACAAAAATTAATTTAATTTTATAATAAAATTGCTTGTCTAATTTAATACCAATAAAACGTGTATAATCCGTTGTAAATAATAATAAATAAAATCTTTACCGTCACTTACCTTGATGCTTTAAAATATTGACAAAAATATATACAATTTCTAAAAATTTTGATTTAAAAGTTTTTTAATAAAAGTATTATAATTTATAATAAAAGTCGACTAAAAAGAATAAAAAAATTATTTTTTCAGTTTCATAAATCCGTTTCAAAAGTCGCTTATTACCTGTTACTCTTCCTAAAATTCAAACTAATTGAGTCAAATTATTTTGTAATACAAAATTTTCTGCATATGTTCTATTTCCCTTTTATCTTGTAGATTTGTTTAAGTCCCTTTAGTATATTCGGATATTTTTTTTCCTCTCACTAATCCGAACGACACATCGAAATCTAAATGAAGGCACGAACGGAGGAGGACGACAAAGCAAATCGAAAGAAAGCCTGAACAAGAGAACTTTTATTTCAAAATAAAAATATGCTTTCGTTCATCATACTAATAAAATTAGTAAATATATGGATGTTTCAACTACCTGTACGTATTCAAAAAAAGCAAATTAAAAAAGAAAAATGTAAAATTTAAAAATTAATATCGATGAATAGTCTAGAAATCATCGAAACTCATCGATTTCGGAACACATTTTGGAACGTAAAACATTGTTTTAAACATTATTGTAATATATACCATTTAGATAACAAATCATAAATAATAAATAAAATATTTCTAGTAGCAACTTAGAAATAATTTTCCGCGTGACAAGTAATTTTCTTTACCTGATATCACGACAGCACGAGATATTACGAGTAAAACTAAAGTTCAGCGTCCATTTACATTAACAAAAATTATAAAACAATAAAATAATGTAAAAAATTTATTTTTAACGCTCGTTTGATACCGAAAAAAGTATGTTAACATGTATCTAATAAGTATGTTAAAAGATCGTTAAAAATTATTTTTTAAAACTATTTTATTGTTTTATAATTTTATAATCATTAAGAAATGGACGCTAAATTTTAGTTGCAAAACTTTTGTGTGTAATAATCATTTAAAAAATAATCATCTAATAATTTAAACTTTATAATATAAAATAAAAATGATTAGTTTTTATAATTTCTGCAAAAATTGAAATAGAATTAGCAAGACAACATTTTTTATGTTTAAGAATAAAAGTTTATAAAGGAGCACTAATGTCTAACAATTGACGAAAATCTATACTAGGTGAAAGAAAAGTGCATATTATTAGTTAAAATTTAAAGATTGCAAAAAATAGCAAATTTGCAACAGGGCCAAAAGAAAGAAAGATATGTCGCACTTTCTTTATTAAAGGAAGGACAAATATTTTAGGAACTGATCACGGTCTCTTGGGTTTCTTGCTGAGTTTTTGTTAGAATGTGCCGACACCTGTCCTAAGCACGTACTCACACAAAAACATTCCGCAGGTTTAAGTCTTGTATATAGTTCGATAAGATCGCGCTGTCCCTCTCTTTGAATTCCCGACTAGTAGAAAGTTGAGCAGGTGCGCTTGCAACGCGTGGAAGAATTTTTTCTGGCTGCCGGCAGAAAGATAACGCACGACCGATGACAATAAAATCCGTTAATTAATTGACGGAGGACTTTGATCCCTAATCAGAATGCGACCACTCCTTAATTGAAGTTGTTTTCACGTGACAGTAATAATCCGAGATGTCAAGCAACAAGCATAACGCGTGCACGATCTTTGAAACTCGACATAACAGTCATGTAAAAAAATAGGTATTTCCATAAAATTCTTATTGGCTTTTATTTTGTGAAAAGATAGATAAAGAGAGAGGAAAGGCTTCTGTCACTTTTTATTAAAAGTATTATTTAGAAAAATCTTTCAAATTGTAACGTTTATTGATAATTATTTCAATAAATTTCAATGCTTCCGTTTGTGAACTTTTTTTCAAGAACAAAATTTTTTTTATCTAATTTTTTTATTTTATGATAATAAAATTTTAGTTATATAAATTATTAATATTAGGCTTTTTTGATTTAGTCAATTTTTTATTTAGTCATATTAACAAACACGATTGAAAGAGATAAAAGCCGCCGATTTTTGCTCCAATTTTTCTGTGCAAGACTGCAATGCCGGAAAGAAAAAAGATCGAACGGGATACCGCGGGCATCGAACGAGATGCAATATACGTAGCGAAACTATGCGGCGATGTCCGATGGGCATCAGGTCGATCGGACGGACATGCGATTCGCGGGCGACCAGTTTTGCGGAGCCGTTCAACAACGCGTCTTTCCGTCTCTTCCTTTCACCCGCGCGGAGACGCCGAGGCAGAAGAAGAAGATAAAGCAGAAGAGACGACAAGAAGAAAGAGA